ATACATTTAGTAACAAAAACAAAATCAGCACCCCTAATTAAATCTGCAATTGCAGCAAACCTGTACATTTAGTCATGCTGGCCACATGACCACGGAGATGTCTTCGGACAGCGCTGGCTCTTCGGCTTCTAAACATTTAAGACGGCTTTTAAGTTCCTGTCTTATTTTCGGGGAAACATGGTATGCATAAAATGGTACCAACTAGAAATCAAGATCTGATTAGAGGGGGAAGAGAATTTACTTCTTAGTGTAGCCTTCCCAAGCTGAATGTCCTTCAGAGAAGCGGAGGCTTCAACTCTCAGGATGTCAAACCAACAAAGTTGTATATTCTGGAAGTTTTCTGGAAGGTGTCAGTTTGTGGAGCCATGCTCTTGCTTTAGGGATGCAGATGAGATTGTTGAACTGACTCCTTGTTTTCTGCTCAATGACAGCAACCTGACCTCCAAATGATAGAGGAATCCATTCAGCTCAGCAAGTCTCAAAAGCCCTTAGAAGAGATCTGGAAGTTAAAGAAGGAACTGGACGATGAGACCCAATCTCGGCAGCATCTGGAGGAAGAGATCAAAGTCATCCAGCAGAACATCTTCCAGCTGCAGAACCAGAAGCCACAGGAGATTGTGCTCAGGAAGGAAGTGGTCAAGAAAATGCCCGACCCGGAGCTGGATGAGAACTACCACAAGATGCAACAGAACCTGATAGAAGAGCAGCGCAAGAACCAGGGGCTTCAGGAGGAACTGCAGTCCCTGAAGCAAAAGCTGGACATCCTAGAGCATGAGAAAAGAGAAGGTGGACAGGAGTATGTCGTCAAAGAAGTCCTGCGCATTGAGCCAGACAAAACCCAGGCAGAGGAGATCTTGAAGTTGAAAGAGGAACTTGAAGATCTCAAGAGGCAGGAAGGAAGCCGGCAGAACGAGATGGCCCTTCTCCACCACCAGATCGCAGCTCTTTCCAATGAGAAGACCAGGGATCAGGAGAGGGTGACTGAAAAGGCCATTGTGAAGATGCAAAACGATCCTCAGCTGGAGATGGACTACAAGCAGTTGCAGGAGAGTAAGCAGAGGGAGAGCATGTTGAGGCACCAGCAAGAGGAAGAGCTGCGTTTCCTCCAAGACAAGCTGAAGCGGCTGGAGAGGGAGCGGGCCATGGCGGAGGGCAAGATCACTGTGAAGGAGGTGTTGAAAATGGAGAAGGATGTAGCGACAGAAAGAGAGGTGAATGAATTGCGGCGCCAGTACGAGGAAGAGAAGGCCAAGGCCCGCTCGAATGAAAGAGAGAAAGGCGAGCTGCTTAGGAAGATTCAGGCTCTGGAAGAGGAGAACGCCACGGTGATTGTCCAGGAGAAGGTACGGGAGATCAGCCGCCCAGATCCCCAAGCTGAAAATGAAGTGGCCAACCTCCGCTTCGAAGTGATGGAGCAGGAGAGGCGATACCTGGGTGGGGAAGAGCAGCTCCGGGCCTGCCAGAATGAGCTGGCGACCCTGAAGAGCAGAGGGCCTCGGGTGGAAGTCCAAGAGATCATCAAAGAGGTCATTAAGTACAAAACGGACGCAGAAACCGAAACGGAGATGCAGCGACTCAGAGATGAGATTGTAGATAGGACCAGAGCCATTGAGAGAGCAGATCTGGAGATCTATAAGTTGAAGCAAGAAATCGAGACCCTGAAGGAAACCAAGCCTCACATCCAAGTGAAGGAGGTCCTTCAAGAGATTCTGCAGTACCGGGAAGACCGCCAGACAAAAGAAGAAGTAGAGTCCCTGCGAGCTCAGTTGGCTGAGGAGCAGAAGAAGCACATGGACTTGGAGAGGGAAAAGAAGCAACAGGAGGAAATCATCAGGCAGAAGGAGGAAGAGCTCTCCCAGGTGAGGGAAAAAGTGGTGAAGCAGGAAGTGGTGAAGCTGGAACAAGACCCTACCTTAAAATCGGAGATGAACACCTTCTCGCAGAACATTGAAAATGAGCTGCAGCAAATAGACTCGCTCCGGAGTGAGATGCGCAAGCTGCAGCGGAGACGGTCACATCTGGAGCGCCAGATGGAAGGCCTGGAGAATGAAAGGAAGGCCCGCCGAGAGGCGGAACTGGAGGTGCAGAGGCTGAAGATCAGACTGAGCGAGCTGGAGCAACAAGAGAAGGACACAGCCGAAAAAGTCACCGTGAGGCAAAAGGTGATTCTTCAACAAGACCCTCAGCAGGAGAAAGAGCACAATCTACTTAAGTTGGAGCTGGAAGAGGAGAAGCACAAGAAGCAAGTACTACAAACGGAACTGGAAGGCCTGCGGAAGAAACTGCAGGCCCTGGAGAAGATGGAGGTCAAGGAAAAAGTGGTCTTTTCAGAGAGCGTCCAGGTGGAGAAGGGAGACACCGAGTATGAGATCCAGAAGCTGAAAAACAGCCTGGACGAGGAAAGCCGACGGAAAATGCAAATGGACTCCGATATCAACAGGTTGGAGGCCAAGCTTTCCGAAATGGAATTTAGCAACTCCAAATCTTCCAAGGAGTTGGACTTTTTGAGGGAGGAGAACCATAAGCTCCACATAGAAAAACAGAACCTTCTTCTGGAGATGAGGAGCTTGCAGTCAGAAATCGAGCTCACGGCGATGGAGGCCCAGGATCTGAAGAGCATGGCCCAGGTAGATCGACGTATCAATCTCGATTCCAGGTTCCACACCTTGGAGAAGGAACTGGAAGACCTGAAGAGGCTGTCGCGAGAAAAAGACGAGGAGATCGAGCAGCTTCAAAATCGTCTCCAGACCGTCGCTATCAAGAGGGAGCAGCGGGAAAACCACCTCAGGCGCTCGATTGTGGTCATCGACCCGGACACAGGGAAGGAGATGACTCCAGAAGAAGCTCATCGTTATGGCCTCATTGAATGGGGCTTGTTCGTCAAGTTGAAAAGCCAAGAATGTGACTGGGAAGAGATCACAGTGAAAGGGCCTAGTGGTGAATCTTCGGTCATCTTGGATAGAAAGTCAGGGAGGAAATTCTCCATCGAAGACGCCATGAAGCGTGGAAGATTAACGATGGGGCAGTATCAAAGTTACCTCAACAAGGAGATGTCTATTCAGGAGCTGGCTGTTTTGGTATCTGGACAAAAATAACCGCTTCTCTCTCAAGCTGCCTAAGCAAAACTTAATTTTTTTAAGCTGGTCCAGAGGTTGTCTCGTTACAAATCCAGAAGTTTTACTATTTAATGCTTCCCTCAGTTCTATCTGCCAAAGCCTCCTGTGTCTTTATTCAACATTTGGGTGCTCTTTAGATTCTAGGTCACACGCATCAATCTTTGCCCCAATCGAAAAGGCCCTACTCCTGCAATTTATCAAGTTGCTGTTCTCCAAACTATGATGGAGAGAAGTAGAATCTATCCAGCATTTCTCCAGTCTGGATGATCAAGCCACATATTTCAGTTTGGCATCTCAAGATTCTGTGGACTATAAAATCCTGTGAAATGGCTTCAGTGTCGAACTGAAATCTGGGCCCCTTCCCATCGCCATAAATTTGGAATTAGATGGCCTTGAGTGAACGCTTTCCATTCCTCTTTCCTGCAGCATGGAGAGGATTCTATTTTACATTTTGGAATGATTTTAAAATTAATGTAGCGTATGAGAAACTCTTAAAGCACTTTATAGCATTACCTAAAACCTTATTACAATTGCATCAACTGGTTTTGTTTCCTCTGGAGAATACTTCCAAGTTTAAGAAGTTATCCAAAGGAAGAGAAGGGTGCATGGTAGGTGGGCAGCAGAGGCTTAATAATCTTTCATTGAAACGGGACAAGAGAAACGGGGTTGAACGTTAATGAGCTAGCATTAAAACACAACGTGGAAGATTTGCAAGAATGATGCAATCGTACCACGATCCAACTAGCATCTTGTCACGCTGGATCTTGTCTTTATAAAAAGATTATCTACATGATATGGGAGTGGTCAAACTTTTAAGGCAGTAAAGATGTATGTATATGCCTGTTTGATGATGGGTGTTTATCCTGTGACTCAGATTATGTAGAGAGGTTTCTAATCTTTTAAAAAAGGGGGGGAGATTAATAGAGAATTATTACCAATTCAAGTGCCTTTATTTTCCCCAAAGTCTCACTTATAAGATGCATGCACTGTTTTGCTGACTTATATTTGACTGTATGTATTCAAGCTATTCGTTGGAGAAGGGAAATGGGAAAAGTTATTTATACCCCTCAATTATAATAAAGAAACGATCTAAATTGATGGTTCTTTAAATCTTTTGCCGTTTTGTCAATAAATGAACATTATAGGCATTGAATTCATACAGTTGTACACAGAGACACAGAAGATGGAATTGGGTATGTCCAGTCTAGTGGAAAGAAAACTAGGGGTGACATGGAGCAATGTTCCAATATTTGAGGGGCTGACAAAGAAAAGGGGGTCTCAGAACTGAAGNCTGATCCAAGGCTCAGTCATTACCTGGGGACCAACTAGTCTCTCTGAGCCCTGCTCGGAGTCAGAACCCTGTCCAGAGCCCTCCTCCTCTTCCAAACATGACTCATCGGGCCCCTCGCTGTCAGAGTCTGATAACAGCTCCAAAGGCCCCAGCCAAGCCACAATAGGAAGGTAAGTGAATCCTGCATATTCCCTGCTCTACCACAAAGGCTCTCGTTTTACCACATTTTGGAGATGTCACTAATCAAAAAGAAGCAGCCCCTCTGAATTGCAGTTTGGTGGCTCCAGGAGGCTCCTTCACCATAACGTCCTTCAAGACTGCAGCCCATCTGGGTTTGAAACCCAATTTGGAAGCCCCCTTGCTCTTAAGTAAGAGTAAGCGGTTAAGATTACGGGTGTCAAACTCAAGGCCCTGGGACCAGATCCGGCCTGCAGGGTGCTTAGATCTGGCCCACGGGGCCACCCTGGAAACAGCAAAGGACTGGCCTGCGGTGCCTCGGCCAGCAAAAACGGAGCTCGCTCACGGCCCACCCGAGCTCCATTTTCGCTGGCAGAGGCTTGCAGGAAGCCGTTGCAGCTGAAAAGGGTTGCAGGAAGCCGTTGCAGTTGAGTGCTGGGGCCGCCACAGGCGTCCCCGACACGACTGAGGTCAAGCTGGCCAAGCTCACCTTTGATAGGTCCCTCCTGCCCCCCACCCCCCCACGGTCAAACAGAACCCTGATGCAGCCCTCAATGTAATCGAGTTTGACACCCCTGGGATAGATGGGACGGCCTGTTGATTGATCAATGCATCATCTTAAGTAAGGGGGGGGGGACCTGTTAACCCGTGAGAACGAGGCGGAACAAGACAGAGCTCACGGACACCAAGTGAGAATAATGAGGTGGAATGAAGAAGCTTTTTGTGGTTGTTTTGTTGCTGCTGATGTTGCTGGCGCCCAGAGGGAAACTATGGCTGCGTTCCTGAAAAAGGCTTTTATCTCTTGGGATGATTTGGATTTATGGCGCTGACGACGGAAGGCTCATGGATGCCTTCTGAGGATGGAGGAGCAAGACGGGGAGGAAAAGGAGCAAAACGAACCATTTCTTTTCATTTGCCAAGAACTGAAATGCAAATCTAGGGCCTTTAGGATAAATTACACGGGACGAAGCAAAGAAGCACAACGAGGAGGAAGAAATAGAGTTTAAGTCAAAAGAACAACATCGAATGTTCCCTGAGTTAAAACCAGAGGTGGGTTCCTACCAGTTCGCACCTCTTCGGTAGAACCGGTTCGTCAAATCTACCGGACCGGTTAGAAGAGGTTCCACCAGTGGACTAGGAAAGCAGGCCACACCTACAGAAGAGGTTCCCAAATTTTTTGAAACCCACCACTGGTCCTTGGATATGATTATTCTACACTATCATGCTC